AGAATCCTGTGTGGAGTATATCATCTTTTACATAAAAAGCATAACAGTTCAAGGGTATTGTGTCTACCGGTCAGCTAATAAAGTAAATATACTTTCACAAGAGAATGTTCAAAGGGTAATATCTACCTATCCTATGCAGGTTTCAACCATTGAACTATATCACTAAGTCTTTATGTCTTCCTTTTCTATATTTCTCAATTTTCATTCATGTGAGAGATTATTGAAAAAAATAAGTACACTGGCTGGCTTTTGCATAAATTTTGAGTGGAACCCATTTAGTTATTTTGGAATATCAAGATTGATTTGTGTTCTCCTCTGTGAGAACGTCGAAATCATATATTTCCTTACCAAAAATGATGCTCGGGTGAACGAAAATTGAAGCTTAAAGTAATGCATTGGAAAAATATTTTGTGTTGAAGGAAAACTAGTTTAAAATTATCCCACATAGGAAAATAGATAAAGGCATAACTACTTTAAATATTATTGCACTTTAGATAAGTGTAATTATGTGTAGCATAGATGCTCTCTCCAAGTGCGCGCGCAGGGGGGTGCAAATCACGAATCGAAATAGGTTTCGAACCTTGAATATGTGTGTGGGCGCGACCTGCGTGCACAAATATCGGACCGATTGATCAAAAAATTTGCCCTTAGGAGGGTCCATATTTTATTTTTCTTAAAACATTTCAAACTCTTTTAACTTCTGAAATTCATGTGATTATGTCTGTGTTAGTGGAGAGATTAACAACTAGATTAATGGTAGTTAATAACATAATTCATGGCTGTTAATTCCCAATTACAGTCTATTTATTCAGTCATCTTCTTCCATTGTATATATACGAAGAAAATTATTTTTTTGTATAAAAAGAAAAAAAATTCACTTTGCATTCATAATTTATTTTCTTGTAAGATCTTGATGATAGTGTTCAGATACTAAGTCAATTCGCCGGACTAGTTTCTGTAGTACTCAAACTCTACTGATTTTTCCGTTGTATTCTGGGAAATAGACATTTGAACTAAATCTCAAGTACCTACGAAGAGAGAACGAATCTGTTTTAAGGAAATTGTGTTCACACAGGTTCATTCGATTAATTGTTTTTAAAATCAATTTAGATCACTATTATGTTTTATTGTCATTAATAAATTATTTGATTTGTAATAGTTTGACTAACATTCGGTTGGCTAGCGTCCAGTATATGTTTATACGGTATTGCTGTTAGTTGCAAATCCGGTATGTCCAATTTCGGTATTTGCAAATTTGGTATGTGTTGCAAATCCAATATATGTCCATCCGATATTTGTCACTATTATTTTGATCTAACAGGATGTTCAATGGGCGACATGGGATACGACTAGAGTCATTCTATCACACTTTTTGAAACTGACATCTATGAAGACCCATATTCCCAATTAGGTGACTTCACAAAACCAATCTTTACTAGAAGTAGCCTTCCTCAGATTGTTATGTCTGCAACGAATGTCATTTTCAGAAATGTGTGCGCTCTGATATCAATTATAACAACATAGTGGTGAAACCCACCCTTAAAATCGGCTTTTAAATAGTGCCCAATGAGTTGAAAACCCGCAAACTAAATCTTAGTATAGGGATGAGATACAATTGGACTTGTTTGGCATGACTTTTGAGAAATTATTAGGGCGATAACAAGTTATCTTAGTTTTTCAAAGAAAAAGTTCTGTCAAACAGGTCTTCAAAGTCAATATAATTAGGTCAACATAATATTTTCACTTCATAAAGAATATTAGGGCGATGACAAATGGTCTTAACTTTGACAGTAATTCGTGTTTTTTTTTTACCTAATTTAATTTTTTTCTCAATTTTGTGTTATTA